ATTAAACTATTAACCTCACTGCTTCATTCAATCCTCTCTGAAGTTAGATGAGACTCCAGGCAGCTCTCAAACAGACCAAGGGCATGCTTTGCAAGCAACACAATCACATGCGAGGCACTGATGGGTAGTAAATCATATAGAACCGAGTTGAAAAATCCCAGTGTTCTCACTTCGTACTTGTAGTCTCTGGGAACCTCGGTTTCTGTCTTTAGCATAAGGAAATGACAGCTACTTTGCAGGGCATTGAAAAGAAATGAAATCTTTTATGTAAAGGACATACCCTGGACAAAGATATATGAAATAAATGTTACCTTCATCTTTAAATAAGAAATTTGGGGGGGGGGTGGAGTGGATATAGCACTCTCTAGAAGAAAAAAGAAATCAAATTTCCATTGGTTTTACTAGAAAGTTACTAGTAGTGAAAAGTTGACTCTTTTCACTACTAGATAGTGGTAAATTTCATCAATAAATGCCATCAAATTAATAGAGGAATCTCAGAATAGAAAGATAAGGATTTTTCTCTACTCCAAGATACCAAGAACCACTTACGTTTGGTGTAGAATTTTTTAAAAAACATTTTTTCTGGCTTTATTGAAATATAATAGACCATCAGTTGCTTGTATTTACATTGTACAATTAAATGAGTTTTTTTCAATTATAGTTGGCATACAATAATATATCAATTTCAGTTGTATAGCATATTGATCAGAGATCCACATAACTAGCAATCACCCTACTAAATCTAGTACCTCTCTTCCCCCTTACATATTTATTACAACATTATTAACCATCTTCCCCATGCTACACTCTACATCTCCATGTCTATTCTGCAAGGTACTATCCATTTGTACCTTTTAATCTCTTTGCCTTTTATTTGGTTCCCCGCTTCCCCTCCCTTCTAGTATCCCTCTAAATATTCTCTGTATCTATGAGTTTATTTCCTCTTTTGTTGTTGTTGTTGATTTTGTTCTTCAGATTCCATGTGTATGTGAAATCATGTGATATTCGTCTTTCTCTATCCAATGCATTTCATTCAGTGCAATACCCTCTAGGTCCAATAAGGCAATATCTTTTTCCATCTCCTTCCCTTTAGTCTGTGTGTCTTTTAATCTGAAGTGAGTCTCTTGTAGGCAGCATATGTAGGGATCTTGTTTCCTTATCTATTCGGCCACTCAGTCTTTTTGTTGGAGCTCTTAATTCTTTTCCATTTGAGGTACTAGTTGATAGTAATGTAGTTGTTACCATTCTTTATTACTATTTTTTAAATTTTATTTTATTAGTTTCAAGTATACGGTACATTAGTTAGACAACTATATGTTCAGAAAAAGGATTGCCCCAGTTGTTCCTACCCTCCCTTGGCCTTCCACGTACCCATCATATTAATGCTAACTGCATTCTCTCTGCCGTGCTCCCCATCCCCATGCCCAACTATCAACTACGAATTTGTACTTCTTTAACCATTCACCCCATTCTCCCAGCCCCCCAAATCCCCTTCCCTTCTGTTCTTCACCAAATTGTCCACTATATTTGTGAGTCTGTTTTTGATTAGTTTGTTCTTTTTGTTCCTTAGATTCTGAATATAAGTGAAATTATGTAGTGCTCTGTCTGACTTAAATAACTTCTAGGTTCATCAAAGCAATATCTTTTTCCATCCCCTTCATTTTCATATGTAGGAGCCACTCAATCTTTTGGTTGGAGCACTTAATTATTATCCATTTAAGATACTTATTGATAGGAATGTAGTTGTTACCATTCTTTAGTCCTGTTTTTGATACATGTTTTTCTTCTTAAAGCAGTCCCTCCAACATTTCCTGTAATACCGGCTTGGTGTAGATAAATTCCTTTAGCTTATGTTTGTCTGGGAAGCTCTTTATCTGTCCTTCAAATATAAATGATAGCTTTGCTGGATAAATTATTCTTGGTTGTAGACCCTGGGTCTTCATCCTGTCAAATATCTTGTGCCAAGCCTTTCTGTCCTGTATAGTTTCTTTTGAGGAATCATCTGCCAATCTTATGGGTGCTCCTTTGTAACTAACTGCTTTTCTCTTGCTGCTTTTAAGATTCTCTCTTTGTATTTAACCTTTGAAATATGAATTATGATGTGTCTTGGTGTGGGCCTCTTTGGGTTCCTGGTTTTTGGAATTCTCTGAGCTTCCTGAGGTTTATTTCTATTTCCTTCACCAGGTTAGGGAAGTTTTCCATCATTATTTCTTCAAATAGCTCTTCAACATCTTGTTTTCCTTCAGATACCCCAATGACATGGATACTTTTACCTTTAGTAGTGTCCCGTTGGCTCCTTAAATTATTACTATTGTCTTGGCTCCTTTTCTCTTGCCATTCTGATTGAGTATCTTTGGCTTTCCCATCCTCTATATAGGTCATTTGATCCTCTCCTTTATTCACTTTGTTTATTCCATTTAATATACTTCTCATCTCAGATAATGTGTTCTTCATTTCTGACTGGTTCTCTTTTATAATTTCCATTTTCATGGTTTTTTTTTTTATCTCTTTGTTGAAGTTCTCACTGAATTCATCAACGCTTCCCCTAAGATCATTGAGCATCTTTTTAATCAGTGTTTTGAACTCTGCATCTGTTAGATTGCTTGACTCCATTATTTCTAGATCTCTGTTCCGTTCTCTCATATGGTTTCTGCTTCTTTGCCTTCCCATTTTGGCTGCCTTTACTGTGTCTGTTTCTATGTACTAAGCAAAGCTCTTAAGTCTCCCGGTCTTATTAGTGAGGCTTTGTGAAGTAGGTATCCAGTGACACAGTCCTGAGAGGGGTTCACCTGCAGGCCAAAGTTAGCCCCAGTCTCTGCCCTTCCGGGATTGTCAGTGAATCTGCATTGTGGAGCGACCTCTGTTATCCAGTTTGATGACATCTGAGCTATGGCGGCGCCGAGTCTGCGCACTGAGAGTGGGGCAGGCTCAACAGAGGAACAATGGATACCACCGGCACTTCTGTCCAGGAGAGATTCTTGCCTCTGACCCTCACTCCAACAACTCAGTGTCCCCATGTAAGTCCCTGGTGCCCCCTGCACAGCTGACAGGGCACTGGTCCTCTGTCACCGCAAAAGTCCGCTCGCAGCCACGGCCCCTTTAACAGACATCTGCAGCTCTGACTGCCACTGCCGCCACCTCCGACCCACTCAGTCGCTCGGTACTGGGCAGCCTCACATTCACGCCCCGTCCTACCTTCTGCCATTGCAGATTGATTTCTTAGGTTCCTCCCTAGTTGTATGGCTTGTCCACCTAGATCCCAGGCAATTTTTCCTTGCTGTTTGCTCCTTGTTTCTGTCATAACTTTGATTTGGTTGCCAGAAGGATGAACAAAGCCTCTATCATCTACACCATCTTTTCCTGCCTCCCTCTTAACCATTTTTAAATGTACAGTTCAGCGGTGTTGAGTACACTCACATTGTTGTGCAGCCAAGTTCTGAAACTTTCTCATCTTGTGAAGTGGAAACTCTGACCCCATTAAATAGTGACTCCCCGTCCCCCTCTCCCAGCCCCTATCATCACCAACCTATTTCTGTCTCTATGAACGTGACTACTCTAAGGACCTCACCGCAAAAGTCCACTCATGGACATGGCCCATTTAAGAGGCATCTGCAGCTGCTGGCTGCTGCTGCCATAGCCTCTGCTGTCCCACTCAGCCACTGGAGACCAAGCATCCGAGCATCCTCGCTCTGTCCTACCTCCTCCCATTGCAAAGTGATTTCTTAATTCTCTGTGTAGTTGTAGGGCTTGTTCATCTAGATCCCAGGTGATTTTCCTTGCTGTTTGCTCCCTGTTTCTGTTACAACTTTGATTTGGTCGCAAGAGGGATGAACAGAGCTTTTATCATCTACACCATTTTTTCTCTTCCTGGTTTTTTTATTAAATGCTACCTAAAAATTAGACTGATCCAATTTTGTCAAAAGTAATAACTCACTTGTCTAGAACTTTTCCTTATGTTGTCTTACATAACCTTCACAACATCTCATGGTATGTATCATTCTTCCCATTTCACAGAGGGAAAAAATGAAGGCTTGCATGGATCAAGCAATGTGCTAATGATTGTAAAAACAGATAAGGCAGGATTTTTTACCCCAAGGTGAGTTCTTCCAACCATATCTCATTGACTCCTTTCTAATAAACAACCATCAGAGAATGAAGAGAAGGTCACCTAGGAGGAGTCCCAGTGCTTCCAGCCTACACCTCAACCGTTTCTTGCTGCACCAACTGTGACTCAGCATTCATTTGAGTAATGTGTTGAGTACCTACAACAGACTGGGCAATGTGATTTCTTGCTAGGTACAGAGAATAGAGTTCTGAGTCAGAACCCCTCTCCCAGACTAACGACCCAGTTGGAGAGATGCTGAACAACTGAACAAAAACACAAGTAATTTAAACTGATACCAATCTCTCTGAAAGGAAGCAATGGGATATGGGGATAGAGAATAATGACACTGAGGTTTGATAGAGGATTTTCAAGGAAGGGTTATCTGAGGATAAGACATTGAAAAATTTATACTAAGGATGTTAAGTTTCCCAGAAATGAGAAAAGTGAGAATGGGGACAAGGATGGTCCAGGCAGGAGGTCTGTGTGGGAATTCCTTAAGGTTTGAAGGACCGTAGAGCTTTTGAGAAAGTGAATAGGTGCCCATAAGGCTTCAGTAGATGTAAGAAGAATCATGACATGTGTTAAACCTGAAGCAATTGACAGGAATCAGAAAATTGGAGGGCTTGAAGACCATGAAAAGGAACATGATGTTTATTCTAAAAATAATGGGGAAATCTGTCAACTTTAAGCAGGAGAGTGACACCCTAAATGATCTATGATTCTGAAAGTCTCCACTAGCTGCTGCATGGAGGACTGCTGAAGGCAAAAATGGAAGCAGAGAAACCAGATAAGCAGTTATTTCACTTACCTGGGTGAGACGATGGCTGGATCTAGGGTGAAGCAGGTGCAGAGAGATAGAGTTGTATCATATTTTGTAGATGTGTTTTATCCTCAGATGGAGAGGCCCCTGCAGCTGGGCAATGTGACCAGAGTCCAGGAGTTTATCTTGCTGGGTTTGTCCACAAGGCCATACACAAGGGACACCCTGTTTTCTGTCTTCCTGTCCCTCTACCTGCTGACTCTCCTGGAGAACACACTCATCATCTACCTCATCTGCACTCACACGGAGCTCCACAAGCCCATGTATTTCTTCCTGGGCAACCTGAGCTGCCTGGAGATGTGCTACGTGTCGGTGATCATGCCTAGTCTGCTCATGGGGCTTTGGACTGGACTCTGCCATGTGCCCTTCACAGCCTGCATGACCCAACTCTTCTTCTTCATCTCCCTCATCTGTACTGAGTGCACTCTCTTGGCCTCCATGGCCTATGACCGCTATGTAGCCATCTGCCACCCACTCCACTACCCACTGCTCATGAGGCCCCAGGTCTGCCTGGGTTTGGCCATGTCCTCATGGCTTGGTGGGCTGCTGGTCTCAGTGGTCAAGACATCATGCATTGCTAGCCTGTTCTACTGTGGCCCCAATGTCCTCAATCACTTTTTCTGTGATGTTTCCCCTCTGCTCAACCTGTCTTGCACTCATGTGGCCCTGACAGAGCTGGTGGACTTCATCTCTGCCATCATCATCCTCTGGGGTTCACTCCTTGTGGCCATAGCCTCCTATGTGGCCATCGGCAGGGCTCTGCTCTGTATGCCATCAGCCACTGCCCGTCGTAAAGGCTTCTCCACCTGCGCCTGCCACCTGGTGGTGGTTGGGATCTTCTACTCGGCCACTATCTTCATCTATGCCCGACCCAGCCGCATCGAAGCCACGGACCTCAACAAGGTGCTATCTGTCATCTACACAGTGGTCACACCCATGTGCAATCCCATCATCTACTGCCTGAGGAACAAAGAGGTCCAGGCAGCTTTCCACAAAAGCCTACACTGGTCCAGAGGCTGACTGGCTGACCAGGGAATGGGGAGACTCAAGCTATCAATGTTTTATATTGTCATTGAGATGTAATTCACATACCATACATTTCACCCTTTATAAATGTACAATTCTGTGGGTTTTAGTATATTCACAAAGTTGTATGGGACCACCACTCACCAGTATCTAATTCCGCAACATTCAGTCAGCACCAAAGGAAACCTGTACACATTAGAAGTCACTCCCAAGCCCTTGCACCTGCCCTAAGGAACCGCTAATCTTCTTTCTGTCTCTGGACTTTCTTGTTTTGAATATTTTACATAAATAGAAACATTAACATGTGGCCATTTATGTGGTTTCTTTCACTCAGCATAATATTTTCAAGTTTTGTGCACGTCGTAGCATGGATCACTTCTTCATTCCTTTTTATGGCTGAATAATATTCCATTATATGTACATATCATGTTTTGTTTACCCAATCATCAGTTAATATATATCTGGGCCAGTGGCACCGACTGGGGTATAGGGACTGCTGGAGCCTGGTGAGAGAGGAAGGAAGGAGAAGCACGAAGGGGAGAGCCGCACCTGCCTGTGCTGTCCCCGGTGAACAGGGTCCCCTTGAACGCCCCCCATGACCCTGGAATGAGGGCCAGGGGCCTTCCCGTGGCCCACATGGCCTGGCTGGTGCGGCCCATCTGCCCCAGTGAGCTTATCTCGCTGAGCTTCATCTGCAGCAGCTTGTTCACCTCAGGGCCTTCATGGAAATGCTTTTCCCCTTGGTGCTGGTTTTGCTGTTTCTCTTTTGCAAGGTCCTGGATGAACTGTCTGTCCTCATGGCCCTCTGACTTTCTCCCTAAGCCCAGTTTCTAAGACCTCACCCCCATGACACCCACCGTGTCCTCCTGTCTCCGGCCCTGTGCGCTTGCTATACTGTCCTTCAGCTGTTGGTATTGTTGGGTGTTTTTCGTCCTCCATGTCTCCATTCATATGTCCCTTTTCAGGATCCCCCTCACCCCTGATGGCCAGAAATAATGTGTCAGCTAGCCCGTCCACTGTCTACATCATCTGGAATTATGCTGAATTTAGTTTTTGCTCCATAAAGTCACTTTCCCACTACAGACTGTGAATACCAGGGGAATAGCCAGCTCTCCATGGAATGCCCTGCAGTTTATTTTCCATTATATGGTACTATAACTTATCTCTCATGAGAGTTTTAGGAATATAAATGAGATAATATGCAGAAGTACATAGCACTGGGGCTGGCATGTGCAGATACTCAGAGTGAACACACCTAGGGTGTTGGTGTTTGTTAAATGAATCCAAAACCCTAAGCATGTCATTTCTATACTATTACATACAAAATGAAACTTAGATACGTGTCATGGCATTTAAGCACCCTGGATGTAAATCCCCCAATGTTCACCCATTTGTTTCAGTCATAGTGGATTCACCTGGCCTTGTCACAGGCCTTGAGCTGGGGTGTAGGGGTGAAATGAAAATCAGAGCTGTTCCCTACCCTCATGATGCTTTAGGGGAACAGAGAGATGACTTCTTCAGAAGGTGAACAAGAAGATTTTTCTAGAATGGCATCCCGACCCCTGGTCTCTTGTCTAGCTCGTATTAGGTGCCCTGTCAACATTTGCTGCAAGCATTAACCTCTGTCTTTCCCACGATTTTATCCATGGCACCTAACACAATGCCTGGCCCATAGCAGATGCTGAATAAATCCTTAACCAATGACTGAGCATCTATCTCATGTGTAGTCATACTCCCCAGAACCTAGACCAGCATATGGCACATGGTCCTTGCTCAAAAACGTTTGTTGAATAATTAAAGAAAAGCTCTGTTCTTAGTTCTTGCTGCTCCCCTCTGCTTAAACACATTCTTTTCATGATTTCCCCCAAGTCCTCACTCACTGCTCGTTTCTGGGCTCACACTGACTGCTAAGCCCTAAAATCACGCCAATCTCAGGTCACATGGTATCTGGCCACACAGCACGTTAATGAGGCTGGAGTCAAGGACCAGGTGTTGAAGCTCTACATCTGCAATTACTAACCCTGCAACGCCAGCAGGATGCCAACTTTCCTCCCAACCTCACTTGCTCATCTATAAGTGGGTTACATCTTAAAAACAAAAACAAAAACAAAAACAAAAAAATAACAACAAAAAAAACAACTGTGTCTCATGACTGTGGATGGAGAGAATTAAGCCCAGATTATATGTGTCTTGCTCCAAGTCAAGAGCAAGTAGCACTCTTCAACTGAAAAACTTTCCCAGAGTCACAGCTTGTGAACAGCAGGCCAGAGATGTATGCTCTCGCCTGTCCATCAACCAGGTCCACACTTACACTTCTCGAAGTTGAGGATGTCATGGAAACCACTGTGTATACCTACTGGCGCCCCTGCACTGTACTGTCTCCATGTTAACCCCCTAGCCCTGCATTGTACCGTCTCCATGCCAACGCCCCGGCCCGGGCCATGATCGTTCTTCACATAAAGGATGTCAAAGGCTTATAAGTGGCCCCTCTGCTTCTACTCTTGCCAGCCCCGACTCACTCCCCACCAAAGTGATGTGATTTATTTTACTGTGGAAAACAAGGCGGTGACTAGTTCTCCTGGGAAACACAGACCACAGCTCCTACATCCCAGGCTGGAGACCCTGTCAGTCTTCTGGTGGACACATTTTAGATTCCTCTTCCAGTACCCGAACCAACAAGCGTTCCTATTACCTCTCCAGGGACCCATAGCTGCCTTGGCTCTTTTGAAAAATTCTCCCTGGTCTTATTTATCCAACTGGTATTTACTGAGCATCCATTCTGGTCCCACGACTGTGCTAGGCAACTGGGCTTCTTTACAGTGAACAGACTGCCAGGGGCAAGGGTGAAACCAGGAAGAGTGATCAGGAAGCTGCTGCAGCTGTCCTGAGGCTGGGTGAAGGTGGCTGGGATTGTGGCAATAGATGTATCCATTAGGAGGCACAGACGCTTTCAGGACAAACTTTGGAGGTTGAGTCAATAGACGTTGCTGAAGAATTGGATATAAGGGGTAAAAGGGGGGCAGGGAGAAAGGAAAGGTGACTCTTCCATGTTTGGCCAGAACACTGGGATAACATCATTTACTGAGATGGAAAGACTCAGAGATGGTCAAATTTTGGGTTGGGGTAAGAAGAATGGGGGTTTAGCTTGGGACACGAATATGAGAGCTTTGTGAGATGCCCCAGTTGGGTTGAAGTGGAGACAGATGGATTTACCAGTCTGGGGTTCAGATGAGAGTTTGGGATGCAGTTAAATATTTGGGCATCATCAGCATAGAGAGACTTTTCAAAGTCATGGATTGGATGAGCTCAGTCAGAAATATGATGTTGATTTAACTTCTCAAATCTCCACTTCCTCCACTGTAATAGGAGGAAGGTGTAGGAATTGGTCTCCTTAACTGGGCCCTCACTACCATACGAAGTGCTATTATCATCATCCTTGTTTCTTATAGGAGAAAAGTGAAGGTTAGGGAAGTTAAGTGAGTTCACCCATGTAAATGGAAAAGCCTGGATCTGAACCAGAGTGTCCACCTCTGGGATAAGCTTGATCCTATGCAGCTTTTACACAGTAGGCAGTAAATAGTTCATAAAACACACACACACACGCACACACACACACACACACACACACACACACACGAGTTCCCTCCTGTGCACCTGTTTTATTTCCCCCAAACCCACAGAAAACAGCCCCTCCTTGTGCCTCCCTCAGCCCTGGTGGATGAGGTCATTTGCACTTACCCAGAGAGGTTGCTGAATCATGCCCTCCACTGCCTGTGAACTGGGACCAAGGGCAAAGCTCAGACAGCTGGGTTCAAATCTGGGCTCCACCTTTTCCTCACCGTGTGATCGTGGGCAAGGACCTTGGCCTCTCTGAACTTCCATTCCTTAGTTTAAAAAAAAACTGGAGAAAAAGGTTTTTTGAAAGTCTCTATTCACAGGGTCATGAGAATCCAGTGAGCTTGCACATCATAGACTTTGAACAGCACCCAGCACCCAGCACCCAGCAGAAACAGATTTGGAGGACACATCCTGGGTGGTGGCAGAAGATACAGGTGGGTTGCAGCTAAGTAAGATGTTAGTTTTACCATAAAATTTTAAGGTTTTTCAGGGAAAATGTGTTTCTATATTATTAACATACTATTTGGCTCACCTCATGTAAAATAGGGACGATACCTTCCTCATTGTGGTGATTAGAAGTTAACCCAGACTACTCAGTAAAACATGGGCTAGCACCTAGTAAGAGCCCAGAAATAGTTATTATCATTAACTATTAAAAATAAATAATCCCAGACACCCTTCCTAACTGTGTGACCCTTGGACAGTTTGGTTCCTTCTCCAAACCTCCACTTCCATGCAAGTAAACTGGAGCTAAGAAGACCTAACTGCCACAGCGTGAGAGAAAAGGTTGGTACTTGAGTATGTGTGAACAGCTCAAGACCTAACTGCCACAGCGTGAAGGAAAAGGTTGGTACCTGAGTAAGTGTGAACAGCTCACACACAGCTTCCAACACTGCTCTCAAGACAGGGAAGTGTGTGAGGGTCGGGAAGCCTGCTGCTGACTCTTGTACACGAAGACATTGAATCTGATAACTCAGCAAACATTTGATGGGTTTTGAGTTATGCTCCCTAGAGTATGGATGGGGTCATCAAATTACAGAATCTTTGGTTTCTTCCAGTGACCTCATCCACTTCGATTCAGTGGTTCTGGAGCCAGGGCCAAGACAACATGCCCACCAAGTAGTTGTTAAGCCCTTGCTTGCATATCTCTCATGACGGGGAGCTTATCATCTTCCATGACAGCCCTTCCATGCTGAGACAGTAAGAACGATTACAAAGATCTTCCTACCAGCATTCACGTACACAGTTGGCAGGGTGTAAGTTGGAACAAATTCTTTAGAGGGCACAGTAGCAATATCTGTCCACACGAACACTTAGGATCTCTGTTGGTCCTGCAATACCACTTCTAGGAATTTATCACCCTGAGTGATTTACAT